CCCCCCTTTGTTTCAATTTTGTTTTTTTTTTTTTTTTTTTTAGTTGAATAATTCAGAATTTAATTAAGGGACTGACTTACACTGTTTTCTAAACTAATGTATATATTTGTAAAAGTTAAATGAGCAATTAAGTAAATGAAATTTTTTAAAATGTATATTATATTAAGTACTTTTTGGGATATGGAGTAATTGTGAGTAAGATAAGAATAAATGTATATAAATATATATATATATATATATAAAACTTCAGATGTTTAATGTTCTGCTAATTTTTCCACAACAGTTCTTATAGAATATCTTCTATGTGGTCCTCTGAGAGAGGCAGCGGTGAATTAAAAAAGTAAAAATGTGACGATCTGATTGGTCGCCGGGCTCTTGGCTAAACCCACTCCCTTTCATCCATAAAAGAAAGGGCAGCGAGCCTATGGGAGCGCTCCGCTGTCTCCTCCTACGACATGCACGAAAGTTGGCCACTTAAACTACTTCCAGCCAGCCGGCAGACATTATACCGAACCCAAACTACACCAGGGGGAAAAGAATAACACCGCGTTTCCCACAACGCGCCACCATTTAGCTGCTTGCGCCTCCATTTTTTATTTTTATTTTGTGCAAACTTACCTCTTTGGAGGTTTTCATTTCAGCTGTTGCAGCGTTTTGTCGTTGTATTTTGACCGATTTATCAAGCAAGAGGAGAGCATCCCCCCCTTTTTCTTTCTTTTTTTTATTTTTATTTTCCCCCCGGTGGAAGAAGGGTCTGTCCAGATTTACTCCGCCTGGGATTTGGGATTTGACAGCGCCTGTTCTCTGATCTTTCCAAACACATTCCGTTTTTTTTTTTTTTCTCCTTTTTCTTTTTTGTTTTTTAACTTGGAATTTCAGAGTGAAACACGTTCTTTAGCGCAGTGATTTTATTTATTTATTTATTTTTTGCCTCAGTAGCTACAGGATGGCTACTTTACCTGGAACAGTGCCTCGGATGGTGCGCCCTGCGCCAGGCCAGAACTACCCTCGAACCGGCTTCCCCCTGGAAGGTGAGGACAAGGACAGCCATGGGTGCCTGATACTTGAACTTGTGCTGGTTTAAGAGGAAAACTGTCCGCTTTGTGAGCTCGTATGCAGCGCGGCGGTGGGCACAGTTTGTCATCGGCGACATGCTGGGAAATAAAAAGATGGGTGAACAAAACGCGCCGCAGTCAGGGCTGATTAAAGTTAACCTCACGTCATGGTCAGGGGAGAATTATAGCTGCAGAAAATACAATCTGATGTCTTTAAAATGCTCCAAAATCTCAGACGTGTATAATTTATAAGAAGTATGTGGATTCGGGCTGTTTTATGTGCATTTCAGACAGCATTTAAAACAATATTCTCCTTTTTTTTATTATTTTCGTGAAATGTTATTTTATTGCAACATTTATCCTCTATTTTTTATTCACTAATATTTGTTTTAATCTAATATATATATATATATATATATATATATATATATATATATATATATATGTTTAAATATTTCATTACATCACTGTAAATTATTTTGGCCCTCAGAATTAAATGCCTAATTTAGAATTTAATATATATATTTTAGACGCACACAATATTTAAATCATCCGTATATGTGGTAGAGGGAAGGAGAGGGAGGGTAAAAAAAAAAAAAAAGATCATTGTATTTGCATGTATTTGCGGGAAACAGTTTCTTCCCCATTCTACTACACCCGCTTCGTGCTCAAGTGCCCTGGACTGAAATGTGCAAAAACCACGTAGCTCGCAAGTGACTCGAGCTGCGGGATTTGTTCGAGTGGTCCCGCAGCTGGAAATGGCAATAATACACACGGCAAAGAGCTGGCTCAAAGGATCACATCAATATTTGTACAGCATGACTAGGAATAATCAAGGTGGGGAGTGCCATCCTCTCTAGTGTCTCTCGGATGTGAAATTGCATCCCGGAGTGGATCCTTGGATGCATCCTGTCAGGATGAATTTGGCACGAATCTCCCCTGGAAAATGGTTAATATGATAATTTGCGCAAACTGCGTCCGAATGGAGATAAAAGCAGCAAATGTGGCATAATCTAATCAAATTAAAATCTCATCTGTATTGTAGGATACCTTAAATTGAATAAAGTCTCGTTGAACGTGAATGTTTTTGAGTGTTATTGTATTTTTTTTGTTTGTTTGTTTGTTTTTTTTTATTGCGACGCAGTGTCCACCCCTCTGGGCCAGGGCAGAGTGAACCAGCTTGGTGGGGTCTTCATCAACGGGAGGCCGCTGCCGAACCACATCCGACACAAGATAGTGGAGATGGCCCACCACGGCATCCGGCCCTGCGTGATCTCGCGACAACTGCGAGTTTCTCACGGCTGCGTCTCCAAGATTCTGTGCCGGTACCAGGAGACTGGCTCGATCCGTCCGGGGGCTATAGGGGGCAGCAAGCCCAGGGTGAGTGGTGGTCTGTGGTCATGGGAGCAGATGACAGGCATGCAACAGCTGATTACACATGGGCGTATAACATATAATAATAATAATAATAATAATAATAATAATAATAATAATAATAATAATAATAATAATAATAATAATAATAATAATGTCCAATTCAGTATCTCTTGAAATTGAATTACAATCCACTTGTAACATTCTATTTAAAATCGTGATCCAATAAAAACTCAAATGTGATGTGAACATTTCTCTCACGATTTAAATTATTTTTTGCATAAAAAACATAAACATATTCAAATAAAAATGGTAAAAATAACAAAAATATGTATCTAAGCATGTTTAATAATTTTTATTTGCAATTACAAATGAAAAAACACATAAAAAATTACAAAAACAATCTAAAATTCATATGATTTTCAAACTTCTAACTACTCAATAAACCCTTAAAGGATGGAAACAATTTTTAAGATTTACGTGCAAACGTCAGAAATACTGGAGCTGCACATTTCTGTATCTTAAATGTGAACATAACGTCTTTTACTAAGAAATCCAATGACAACATTTTATTGCTGTATTTTTGTTAATATTATCTATTTAAGTAGTTTATCTAGAAATATGTGAATTTCTTTTAAAATTTAGATTTAATTTTCAATCTGTTTGTTTATGATTTGTGTCCAAATCGATCCAAATCTCATGTTTTATTAATTAATAAAAGAAAACTAAATCTGTCCATTTAAAATTAGAACCACTTCAAATGTATTTAAGCTCAGTGCAGTGAAATGCATGGTACTAATGATGGATTTTATCTAAATATTATTTGCATGTTAAATTGTTTGATTATAGAAATGTTTGTTTTTCTTTTGCATTCATTCAAAGTAATTCTAAATGACATTTTCCTAACTAAACATTATATGTTTATTGGATGAGATTAGTGTTTCCTTTCAACTAAAATTCCTCCTCTTTGTTTGTTCGCTTGCCATCAACCTTTCAAACCTAAAGCAGGTGGCAACTCCCGACGTGGAGAAGCGGATCGAAGAGTACAAGAGGGAAAACCCGGGTATGTTCAGCTGGGAGATCCGGGATAAGCTGCTGAAGGACGGGGTGTGCGACAGAAGCACAGTTCCTTCAGGTGAGGCTTCATCTGGTAAGCTGCACTTTTTTTTCCCCTTACTACCAGCGAACACCGCAGCACCACCTCTCAATGAACGTCACTATGAATTCAACATGTTACTGATAATAAAGCGCCTCTGTAAGCAAACCCAGAGAGATAACTATATTATACATGTACATGTCCTGTTGAAATGTGGCTTCAGTGCTCCGTCAGTTCATAACATTTGCTCCCTTGTGATGAATATTTTTCTCCAAACGCTGCTGCTTCATGTGAAAACTTTTCCTGTGCCATTTTTGTACCATTCTGGGAGAAAGAGAGAGCAGAAGGAGAGAGAGAGAGAGAGAGAGAGAGAGAGAGAAAATGTTTGATAGGATTATTATGGTTCTGTTATGGCTTTTAGGCCTAATCACCCATTTACCTTTTTGTTGCCATTAGTGAGTTCCATCAGCCGCGTTTTGAGGGCCCGATTTGGCAAAAAAGATGACGAGGATGACTGTGATAAGAAGGATGAAGATGGAGAAAAGAAAACAAAGCATAGCATCGATGGCATCCTCGGTGATAAATGTAAGTTAACAACAAACAAAAAGTGTATGTATTATTATTATTATTATTATTATTATTATTATTATTATTATTATTATTATTATTATAGTAAATTTGCAGCCTTGCAAACTGGAAGCAAATGTTTTTAAATTGACTTCCTACTTGAACGTCCTCTGGGGAAATCGTCCCACATCCGAGCTGCGGCTCTAAGCGCAGACAATTTATTCCCGCTTTAAACTCCGAGCCAGCACTTGTTCACTGCCTTCAATTATTTATGAGAGCCTTGGCAGAAGGTATTTAGCTGCTGAGAATTAATTTGCGTGGCGCATTCTTGCTCATTTCACTCACTCATTCAGGGGGACATCTAAAACGACAGCTGACAGTTGACCCACTTCAAGCTCCCTGACGTCTCACCGCTTGTCAGTTAGAGCGGAAATGGATGCGCATGTCATTGTTTTCTGCTGTTAGTAATGTGTGAGACAGCGGTGCAGGTATTTTGTTTCTGAATCGCCCTGAAAGATAATCATTTCCCCTGTGGTCGCCGTTTTTGAAGCATGTTGTAATGCATTTGAATTCTTGAAATGAAGCAAGGCCTAATGAGGGATTCAGTTTTATCCTATAAAGATTGGAATTTAAAATATAAAAATGCGAGGGAATGAGCGCTTTTAAACGCCCTGCTGAGAACAATGTACACTGTAAAAATGAATTTTAAAGGGAGTTAAATTTTAGCAAATAAAAATCTCTTTAAGCACATTATTTGTAAAGATAATGTTCACTAATACCTGCATTCTGTCGTCATTATATTAGATAGGAATTTAAGAAAAGATATTTTGTTCTGCCAAAACCTATTCTAACGTGTTGTGTACATGTCATGCTCCTCCTATCAGAGGAGCGTGATAGGTCTATATTTTAAAATGAGCTATGTTATGAATATACATGTCAGTTTAGTAAAAGTTAACAGTGTCATTACGCTTGTTGCAAGAATGTAAGAATGTAGTTTATTTATGCTTCTCTACTTTAGCTATAGCGCTAATGCTAGAACTTGCTAGCACATTTACGTTCTTAAGCCTGAGGCAGTCATAGCTACTGAGCTACACATTTTAGCTAACAAAAATACAATTTTCAAGATACCCAAGACAAAAAGTTGCTTTTTTTTTTCCTGTAAAAAACCCAAAGAACATTATGATTGCACAAGGCAAGTTGCACAAAGTGGCTACAGGTACAGATGTTTGTACAACTAATCACTTTTAAACATTGCCTAAAGAGAATCTCCTATAAATTTCCAAACCGTCCCTAATGAATTATTAAAACTCTGCTGCAAAGAGTGTTAGCATAGCAAAATCACTTTTTTAGTGCTGAGATATAGGCTATCTTCAAACCAATGAGACTTGACTTATGTTAGCTACACGAATACCTCTCAGCACAGGTGTAAAACATTTAGCTATGTTCAATCAAATGTTAGCTTACTGGAAAGACATCTGCCACACTGGGGTAAGTTTGAAAATATAATGTTGTACCACAGTTATAACTGTGTCTCTTAGCTCTTAAACGCTATATAATAAACTATTCATTAAGTTTTTTTTTCTTTTCTCAGTGGTAAATGCGAAAAGCAAACAGTAGAGTGAGTAGAATGTGAAAGACCAAATAAAGAAATAACTGATATGAACAAAAACAAATGATTAAAAGTACATAGAAAAGACAAAAACATTATTTTGAAAAATTAAAGTGAATTATAGATTCAAGAGTTTTGATTTAAAATTTAAACTATGAAAATGTGATCACGAATTGTTACCATCAATGGATGCCTATAGCTAATACCCATCTGTCTATTGTTAATAGATTATATAAAAAAAAGAGCCTGCAATATTGATGGATTTGTGTTGAACAGATTCAGAATCAATCTTTTAGCAAGTTTTACAATTTGAGTTTTAACATGTTAAAATGTATCTAATCTTTGGGAAAAGTTATAACAGTCAAATGCTGCCACTTTCCATAAGATTGCTGTCTTTGTAACAAACCTTTCAAAAAAAATATTTTAGAAAATTTTTAGTATTACTTCCTGAACTATGACCCATTCTAGCCCACTATTTCAGCAACATATTTTATCTTAATTACGATAAGATAAACGAGTTAAGTAGTGTAAATATTTTAATTGACTAAGTACACTTTAATTGCTAGAATTACAAAATAAATTGAATTATTAATGTGATTCCACCAGTTTAACTGCTTCTGTTCCAACAGTTATTTTTATCAGTGCGAAATGATAAAACGAGAGAATAGAGATAGTTTTTTTTTTTTTTGTTCACAATAGCTATTTTTATTTTAAAAAAGGAAGACTGCCAAACTTTTTTTTTTTTTTCAAACTTGAAGATGAACTTCATGAGCAAAACCTCCCCTCTATTGAAGCTTTTCTAAAGCGAGGAGTCCGGGGCACAAAAGCAAATCCTGGAAAGCACGGCGGCGTAAAGCGGAGTGTATGGGCCTGCGCCCATTCACATTCAAAGAGCTGCTAAAAGAGAGAGAAAAGTTTGGACAAAGGGCAAGGAGCGGCATAAAAGGAGATGAATTATTCAGTACGCCCCGCTGCTAGATAGTTTTGTAATTTAGTATATAATGGCCCCGTTGGAGAAGAATCGGTATGTGGCGTGAAAACGGTCTCTTTTTTCGGTCACAGCGCAGATTAATGTTAGGAGAAAAATGTCACTATTTTCTTGCAAATATCTCCGGTGTCTTGTAAACCCTGCTGGCTGCAAATGACCGGCGTGCAGTGCTGGAGTCTGGTCATTTACGCACAATGCGCCTGATTGATAGTTTGCGCTTCAACTGCGTCTTCGGAGCTCTGCTGTTGACTTTCGTGTTTTTTTGTTGCAAAATTTCCACATGATGTCACTTTCGTTCTTTTAAGCACTGCTTGTTGTTTCAAATTGGGATCGAATTACGCTGCTATAAAAAGAGACACTCACCCAGTGCGTAAAACAGTTTAGACAAGCAGCATCCGGATGGCGTTTAATAATGTTAATACTTATTAGAGTAAAAGCGCTGGAAACGATGCTCTCTTGAATAGGTGGCTGTGTTCGTGCCGGGTGTAATAGCTCGAAGGCATGGTAAGAAATGTATTTATCCCCAATCAGCCCCTCACTCTGCGAATTTGAAGCACAGCCCTTATGTGGAGAGGGGTTTTTAAAGCAGATTAAATAGAGCCTTTTATTTCTTTTCACTTTCATCTCAGAGCGGAGCTCACTGTGGCTCGCCCTGGGCACAAAATTCATAGATTTTTTTTTTTCTGGCTTACTTATCCAGATTTTAAGACTTTATTTATTTATCTATCAGTTTGTTTATTAGGTCTTCGTATTAGTTTTTTTCTTTTTTTAGATGTTACATCGCGGATTTATCTTGGTACTAATCTAGCTCTAATAAAAAGTGTATTTAAAATCATAAACAAATTAATGCACGTTTGATTTTCCTGCAAACACGGGTTCTTGCAAAACAAGCCAAGCTGAGATCGTGTATAGGGGAAGCCGGGTGGGAATATTCTGGTGCATGCACTATTAACGAAAAATGACGCAAATGCTGCGCTACACCACGCGCAAACGCTTGCACGGTTTTGTTTTGCGTCACGGGAACATGTATCAGATGTCAGGAGTCGATTGGCCACACGTGACGCATCCTGTCCGACCGTCAGACGAGGTGGAGACAGGCGATGGACACTTCAACAAATCGCAGGATTACCTGCAGGTCGGTCTAATTAAACAGATGCCAGGTGGGATTATTTCTGCACACTGAGGAAAACTGACAGAGCTGCGCAAAGGCGTGAGGAAGGGAGATAGGCCTTGTTTGTTTAGATTTGCAAAATGGAGTCAGTCGGTGAAATGTCTATTTTATTGCAAAAAAGACGTATTATTTTCCAACTTTTTTTTTCTTCCAGAAATAGAACAAAAATATTTATTTATATTTTGCGCTTATTTTACCTCGAATTGCAAAATCTCAAACCCAAATATTTTACCTGCTAAACGAAGTAACACAATAGACAGAATTTAGTTTAAATTGGATAAAACTGAAATAAATGCCCCCGCACCCCCACTTCCACGCACATATTCGTTTTTGCCCGGGCGCGCGCTCCAGCGCCACGCACACCCCAGTCTCTCTAAGTGTATGGTAATATAATGTAGCCATATTTCGGGTCTAAAGCCGCGCTGAATGAGAAGGACAGGGGGAATGAAGCGAGAGACCACTTCAAACAAATCCATCTGGAACAGTGTGTGAGAGAGATTCAGTGAAAGTATGGGGAAGTTATTTAGCTATTAATAACGTTCTTTCCTCAGGCATTCAGAGTGACTCCATCTGCACTTTCTCGCAGCTATTTGGCTGGGTGGAAATTGAGGGAGACCCAAATGTTGGGCAGAGATAACATACCCATCATAGCCCAGACCCTGCGCTGTGCTTCACTGCATTAAACTCGGATTAACCTCCCCTGTCCCCGCAGCCACTCAAGCCACATTTCACTGGAATTTACATCGGTAGGCCTGCATTTCCTATAGAGGGGGCATAGAGCTAAAAAGACTCGATACGATAGATATTATTATTATTATTATTATTATTATTATTATTATTATTATTATTATTATTATTATTATTATTATTATTATTATTATTATTATTATTATGTCCTGTCTTATAACAAATTAAATGTAGGCCTAAATTTTATTATTATTGTTGTTATGTTTTAATAATAATAATAATAATAATAATAATAATAATAATAATAATAATAATAATAATAATAATAATAATAGAAAAGAAAAATTATATACTTACTGGCTTAAAATAAGTATTCAGATCTTGACAACAGCAAATATTGTATGAACTAGCCAAATGAAAGGCATATAAAAAAGTGCTTGCTAACAAATAGTGAGCAGTGTAATCTTAATGATGAGAACTATTATTTTATATT